ATATATAAAAAATAAAATAAAAGACGAACTAACCACATTGGTTTCCAAATTTTAGTGCTCATTACAATTTGGTCCTAATTTTTTTTCTTCCTTACAAGTTAATTTCTGAATTTTTCTATTTGTCTAAAATATTCAATTTTCTTTTATTTTTTTTAACATAAAAAGCTAACTTAATAAATAGTGTAACGAATAGCTCAAATAAATGATTTTAATTGATTAATTGAATTGATATGTTAGTAATAAACCAACAGTAATAGTGGTAAGTTTATTTTTTTATCTTTATTTATTTATTAATTAATCAGATTCATTTTTTGAGTTATTCTTTTTAAATATTCAAACAGTTTTAGTTAGAAAATAGAAGGAAGTTATGCGTTTGAAATAAATAAATAAAATATGTTACGAGATTAAATTGTATTAAAAAAATATTAAAAACTAAATTCTAAAGAATAAATTTTCCTTATAAATAAATATCACTTATACCAAAATAATATAACATAATGCATTTTAAAGTCTTCTGCAGAGACTTTTTTTTTTTAATAGGAAAGAGAGACACAATTTTAATAAGCAAAAATACTTTATATACAATTAAAGTTCGGACTTTGAATTTTATTTGTTTAATATTTTTGCTCTTTGCTTATGGCCTTCTAATTTGCGCACTGTGAAACAATAGAGTTTGTAAATAATTTAAAGATAATTATTCTTCTTTTCTCATAGGCAATATATAGATATAATTACATCACAGAAAAAGAAATAAAAATTATTATACAAAAAATTACCTAATCAAATTCTTATAATTGTGATACTAATATAATAATTTATAACACCAATTTATAGCACTAATCTAGTAATTTAGTAATTAATATATAATTTACAACACTAATTTAGTAATTTATAATTCATGTCAACACTCCTATCGAGTTGGAGCATAGATCTCTATCATGCCCAACTTGTTGGTCATTTCAGAGAATTTATTTTCAGTAACTGTTTTAGTGAGAATGTCAACTAATTGATTTTTAGATTTGACAAAAGAAAAATATATAATCTTTTGATCTAACTTTTCCTCGATGAAGTGTCTATCAACCTCAACATACTTAGTGCGATCATATTATATAGGATTTTATTCAATCTCAATATTAGCTGTATTGTCACAATAAAGACTCATAGGTTTCTCATATTTAACTCTCAGATCTTCTAAAATACTCTTGATCCATAACAATTCACATATTCTATGAGCCATTCCTCGAAATTTAGCTTTTGCACTTGATCTTGCCACAACTTTTTGTTTTTTGCTTTTCCATGTGACCAGGTTACCTTCCACGAAAGCAAAATAACCAAAAGTAAATTGTCTAGTCATTTGATCACCTGTCCAATCAGCATCTGTGTATCCTTTAATTGTTGAAGAGCCATTTTTTGAAAACAATAAATCTCTACTGGGAGTACTCTTTAAGTATCTCAAGATTTGGTAC